AAAGATCCGCACTCCGTTACATTATCTAATCTTTGGAAAGATGAAATGGAAGTTTTATCAATTTAATTAAAGATTTTAAATATGGGTTGATTTGGAATTCCTTGGCAGATTTGTAAGTCGGTATCCTTCTTACTTTTGTCATCCGGGCTAGTTTGGAATGTCACGTGGGAAGAGAACACCCAGATGAAAAACGTTTGCCAACTGATTACTTTGTTAATTAACTTACATACTATGACAAAAACAATCTTTCTTTGTAGATAACAATGCCAGTGAATTTAATCAAGTATGATACGTTTACCAATAGGAGAAAATGAGATTTAAACATTAGTCTTAGCCAGTACAATCGAAAAGCAGGTGTGTTCTATGCAAAAACTTGTGAAAATGTACTCACTTTTTGCAATAAATGACAGAATTAAAGATAAGTAAGGATCTTTTAATCTAAGAAGAATTCTTATCTTAAAGTTTATACTGAGCCAGAGGTTTAACAGTCATCATGCATATTTTAGCCTTAGCAGAGCTTTGTATTAAATTTGATGTACATAGATTTTCATAGATTATCAGTCCACAGAGAGAGAGAGAGAGAGAGAGAGAGAGAGAGAGAGAGTTTCTTTGTTACATACTGTCCATTGTTAGGACCATATTCTTTCCAATCAACAACAAATGATGCTTATGGTAGACTACAAAGGGGGATTTCGGAAACTACTTAAGCAAAAGATGTACAGATAAAAAATATAACAATGTTACTATTGTACGGTCTTTTCGTTTGGTAGTTCTAACGGAAGTGGTATTTTTACTCCTATCTGCCATCTACAAATATCAGCAACAGTTTGGTAGTTCTAAGGGAAGTGATAATTTTATAGCTATCTGTCATCTGAACCACAGGCACCTGAAGTATGGATAATACCCCCCCCCTTTTTTTTTTATAAAAAAAAATGTAAGAGTGTATAATACCTCGAAAATATAAAATTTCCCCGTTAAACACATCTATATGTTGTTATATGCAAGCAGATTGTACTTTTTCTCACGTTTAAAGAATGGCCCTATTCGGTATAATAACAAGTATATACTGACAAAACGTCAGAGATACTCAAGCTGTAGAAAGTTAGCTAGGAAGTGTCATTAATTAATATCCAAAATGGTATAAGATGAGGGCTATTGAGTTCAATCTTCTGTTGAATAAAATACATGTACATGAAACAAAATTCATATGTTGAATTTAATTTTTTGCGAAGATAGACATAATATAGGCATAATGTTGAAAATTGGGGTTTACTTTTCTTTTGTTTAGCCCCCCCCCCCCTTTCAATTAGCCCCCACCCTCACTTTCAGTTTGTTTCCGACGCCTATGAAAACATTTAAAATACATAAATCCAAACCTGTAAAAAAGTTTTTTCAAGGGGGGGGGGGTGCGGGCTACAAATAATCCACGTGATTACGGATTCATCTCTGTGTGGTATGTCCCATACATATAATAGATCTATTCCATACGAATCCAAAAGAAGTTATAGGTTCATTACTAAACTGAAGATAATACTGTTTTTTAGAATTTAAAAACAAACGTATGAGGGAGAATTTAACATTAATTTATGTTGTGTTATTATTCTATTGTCACTCAAAGTACACATCATTTGCAGGAAAGTGAGAAGCAATATCAGCTGGGGGGGGGGGGGGGGGGGCACAGCCATACATTTTCTGGCCATGCATTGTAGAATTTGTTAACGATAGGGTAACCTGCGTCACCTTTCAGAGTCGCCATTGGACTCGTCCAAGGATGCTTTGTCGGCGACCGAAACGTCGGCGACTGAAAGTTACCTGAGATTCCTACGCAAAGGAAAGCGCGAAATCTCTGCATAGAAACTGTTGCGGCTGCGGAGCTTCACTCGTTGTTCATTCGCCATAGAATAGAATCCGACATTTAACAGTTAATATATATGAATATACAGACGTTTTCAAGATAAGCTTCATTTTTGTTTCTAGAAATATTTTTATCTACCAAAATAATATATTTTCGTGTTTTAAAACTGAGTAAATCGATGACCTAGCATCGTTTTAGATAACTCAAGCCCCTCTAGGGCTTGAGTAAAAATACACAAGGTAAGAAACAAAAGTTGTAAACAAACGGGGGAACCCCTGCTTCGAGACAGATTAACAAGGTAATAATTAGTGTTACCTATCATAATTTTGCAAACACTCTGTCTGGGAGATGTTCTTTTACTAGTCTCTTACACCTAAACCCCGCTTATAGCGTTTGATATGCCGTAATCGAACGATTTATTAATCGGATACATAAAATTTTCTCCATTGGCAGCGTTAGAGGAGGTTTTGGAGCTGCTTTTCTGTTTCGCCTTATCTGATTGGTTAATTGTAATACAGTTTAAATATCTAACCAATCAGATAAGGAGAGAGAGAGAGAGAGAGAGAGAGAGAGAGAGAGAGAAAATTTTATGTATCCGATTAATAAATCGTTCGATTACGGCATATCAAACGCTATAAGCGGGGTTTAGGTGTAAGAGACTAGTAAAAGAACATCTCCCAGACAGAGTGTTTGCAAAATTATGATAGGTAACACTAATTATTACCTTGTTAATCTGTCTCGAACAGGGGTTCCCCCGTTTGTTTACAACTTTTGTTTCTTACCTTGTGTATTTTTATTATACCGAATAGGGCCATTCTTTAAACGTGAGAAAAAGTACAATCTGCTTGCATATAACAACATATAGATGTATTTGACGGGGAAATTTTATATTTTCGAAGTATTATACACTCTTACATTTTTTTTATTAAAAAAAAAGGGGGGGGGGTATTATCCATACTTCAGGTGCCTGTGATCTGAACATCCCAGTACCTCATACAATTATTGTATTATCATCAAAATTAACTTTGTATCCTTAAGCTGCTGTTTGATGGTTTCTTTATATATGTAACAATTCACAAATTTAAGGTAAGAATGAATAAAATAGAATTGAAAAGTATGCTATTGTTCTATTCACAAACGCTATCCATTACTTACATATTACAGAACAAAATTAAAAGCTAAAAACAAAATGAGTTTGTGAAACGCTGTTGCCCCCATATAACAGCTTATTGTAAAGTTTCTCAAACGCAAGGTGTACTCCAAAGTTAATGTCAAGAAATGGTGTTATCCAATTAAAGAAAGGACTTGTGTAAATGAATATACCAGTATATTTGAAATATGAAAGCCCAAGTACTAATCTATCAAAATTTATAACAAAAGATAGTTTTTTTTAAAGTGGTTCAAACTTCAAAGTCAACGTCAAAAAATAAAAATTAATGGTACCCAGGAGATGATCTTGTTCTAAGAAATATACAAGCCTTTGGCAACAAGTGTTCAAAAGTTATGCCCAAGGTTAAAGTCTTTCAAAAGTATGACAAACTCCAAGGCCTGTGTTTAAAAGTCAAAATTGTTTGTATGCAAATAAGGTCTTGAAACAAGAAATACACCTGTGTTATACCGGTATAATATTTAGCACTAGTACTAACTGTTTAAAAGTTATGGGCATGGCTTATGTTTTTTAAAAGAAGATCAAACAATATAAGGTCAACAAAATGTATTTTTGAAATACTATGCGCCCGGCGGCAAAGTTCGAAAAAGCTATTTTTAGCATATAGGTCACAGTCAAGGTCACAAGGTCATTGACCTTGCTGTCATTTGAAAGAGCTTAATTAGTGGAGTATGCATACCAAATTTGAAATCTATATTTCTCAAAATTACGAATAGCGAAGGTTAAAGTTGACAACAGACAGACAGAGAGACAAACAGACAGACAGGACAAAAAACAATATATATACGCCCCGATCAATCGAACCGGGCGCATAAAAATAATAGTCTGCCTCAAAGAATATTCATATGATGTATGAAAGGCCTTGTACCAACTGTTCAAAAGGGCCAAAGTTAAAGTTTGTTAATTTTTTGCAAAAGTGGGTCAAACTCCAAAATCAAAAGGTCTTGTTACGTACGAAACCTAGAGCTAAACCCACTGGAAAGTTATAGGCAAGGTTAAAGTTTTCAAACAGACAGCTAGACGGACAGGGACAAAAAATATATATATACTCCAAAATCTTCGATTATGTAGGCATAATAAATTACAGGAATTTTAATAACTAGTTATCTAAAATTAATTCAATATATTATATATATAGTCTGCTGTTTTAAGTTACTTAGTGTGCTCTGACATTAAAACCTCGTGTATTTATGTTGGTTGAGTGAACCAGAAGTCAAGCCCTCACTACTAAATAACCATAACGCTTTAAAACAGGAAGTAAAGTGCAATTGTACCCATATATCTATTTAGAAAAGCGTGTACTTACCGCAGAAAGCTAAGGAACAATAGTTTGTCTTTATATAAGTGATTGTTTATATTCTACTTTTAGTATTGTTTTTAAAAAAGAGGGGTTAGTAATTTTGCTATTTGTTGTTTTAAGCATTTGCAAGTATCAAGGAATTTTTTTAATCTAAAATTGACTGTAAGTTTCAATTTAAAAACTTGTAAGTTTCAATTTAATCTAAACTTGTAAATTTCAATTTACTGTAAAATCACCAATTTTCGTGGGATGAAATTTTCGAGGTTTGCTGAAAAAATATTTGACTTGTGGGGATTTGATTTCGTGGTTGGTAAATGTTTAGTAGTACAAGTATTGGATATGAAATTTTACAATTCGTGGTGGTCATGAATTGAACAAATTCATGGGTCTCTCGATCCATACATCGAAAACGACGAAAATTAGTGATTTCACAGTAATCTAAACTTATGTTTCAATTTAATCTACATTGTAAACTTGTTAGTTTCAATTTAATCTTAACTTGTAAGTTTCAATTTAATCTGAACTTGTAAGTTTCAATTTAATCTTAACTTGTAAGTTTCAAACATTTTGGTCCAATGATTGTAAACAATTGCTCACAATATAATGAAATAAGGACAAAACGATCGACGGATATTACTATTTTGTTTAGGCATGTAAAGTTACAAACCAAGAAAAACTTGCTTTTTTTTTTATTTTATTTTTCACTTTTAGAAACAGATTAAATATGAACACATAACAATAAATAATCACTAAACAAACCGAAAGAACGCTTCTTCAACAAAAATAACTTTGAATCAACTAATAAAAATATAAAATGGATCTGTATGAAGCCCCGGGGTTGAAGCACCAATTAAAATAATGTATAACATTTCTGTATAATTAAAAGTATCTATCGCGGCTTCAATTCACCACTCGTTCAAGACTCTAGTACTTAGTATATACAAAAGCAATTTAATTAAATGTCCATAATGTTTTGCACCAAATACATTTCTTTGAATGGAATGTTAAATATATAATAAATAGATCTATGCTTGCGCAGGAGATGCCATATCTTCCGCCATATTTGCACTACAATAGTACTTTTTATGAGCTAGGTAAGAATTTTTGTAGGTAAACGTAATGTCACAATGCCTGCAGTATTTATCAGCCCGTTTAGGGGAGTGAGAGACCTGTGACGTCACAGGGCCCACCATACTCGGGAGCATGTGAAAGGCGGGAACCACGTGATAGTATGGCATCATATGGGGGTCCACACGAGGAACGATTAATGATGACTTCTTTTCAGTCGATTCTTGGTTTTCTAATTTGATTTTTGGCATGGAATCGCGGCTAGTTGGGGACTTTAGAGAACGCGGCGAACAGGAAGCACTCTTTGGGAAATCTCTGTTTTCACTTGATGATTCTAATGGTGACCGCGAACTTTCACTCTCCATTTCTTCTTTGACCCTCTTGGAAGGGGTCAACGACTCTTTGGGCATGTTCTCTGTGTCACCGCTCTCCTCGCTGGTATTATCCACGGCTTCTCTCTTCACAGAAACCAGTTCATGATCTCTTGTTTGCTGTGAATCTTCGTCAGCAGACGATGGTGGTTCAGTTTTTACAACTGTTTTCTCCGGCTGAGGAGATGATTTTCTCTCTATTTCAGGAGATTTGGAGGTACCCGGACTTGATCGAGAATTCGATCCTGGACTAGACTGCTCTCGAGGAATTTTCTCTGGGTGTTTGTTATACACATGCGCCATCAAAGATTCGAAGGTGTCACAAACTGAAGTACAATATTGACATTTGTAATTTTGTACACCTGCTGCTTGAAGTGCTATCATTTCATGAAGTTTCAAATGCATAGCAAAATTAGACAAGTCTGTAAACATTTGACCACAGTACATGCACATAGTAGAAATATTTCTAGGAATGGAAGAGGCGTGCTCTGCTTTTTCATAAGATTTCCGAGATCGTCTTCTTTTGTACGGTTCATTTTTCATACGGATTAATTCAGCTTCTACATCAATAGGCCCAGTTTCTGAAGACATATGATCTCTAAGTTTCACTGGCATGAGCGGTGGTTCCTCTATTTCTATCATGTGATCATCTGTAAAATCTTCGCCGTTGTCCAAGTGGACCTTCCCGTGCATTCTCATCCCTCGAACTGTGTTCCCGCGATATCCACAGAGAGTACAGCGATAGGCCTTGTTGGGCATATGTGCTTTCATGTGTTCCGAGAGCCTCGTTTCTGTTTGGGTGACAAAGTCGCAGTAGATACATCGGAATATCGGCATTTGACCGGAAACGCCAGCACAAAAGTGAAGTTTTAAGTGTCGGGCAGAAGGAAATACTGTATCACACCTTGGACACTTAATGATCTCCTCGTCCGATTTAGGAGAGGTTTTCCCTTCTATTTTATTTTTACCCAATACCGTGTGCTCACTTTCTTTTCCATGTGGACAATAAAATTCCTTGTGAGCCTGCAGCGTACTTGCGGAACTGAATTTTATTTTACAAGGAATACAGTAAAACCGATAGATAATATCCTCCGTTTCTCGTGGTCTGGATGTTGACGACTTTTCCGTTAGGGGAGATTGTCCATTTTTACTAAAGGTTGACTGTTCCTTCGTTTCTTGATTAGTTTGAGGAGATTTCTCAGAACTTTCAGAAGAACGTGTTCTTTCTGGCGTTGCAATAACCCGTGTATTACGTCTTGCCAGCAGATCAATGCTTCCATCCTCATCCTCAGATGGGGATTTGTTTTGTCGACTAGAACAGTAATGTTTTTTGTGTATCATGTAATTCTCCCTTTTATAGAAGACGATATTACAGTCAGTGCATTTGCTAACAGAGTGGGGAACAGGGGGAACTGGTTTCCCCATGAAAGAAAGCTGGGGTACTGTGATGAGGGGTGGAACTGGGGATGCCATCAGGCGAGGTAACTCCGACATGGAGTGCTCTTCACTCCTCTGACTATGAGGCGAGCCTGATGAAGATTTCGGTGTCACCATCTGTCGTGACGGGGGAGACATCGACGCAGTAGACTTTGGACTGAGTCTTTCCTCTTTTACTTTGACAGAGAGATCCAACTCCTTTGTTTGTTCTTCCTCCACTTCTTCTTTGACGGTGGAAACAGTTGATATGGAAGTCTTTGGTGTGTCCGACTTCGTGGTGCTTAAATCCAGAGGCATATCAGGAGAGCTCCTTGATGAGGAATCTCGAACTTCTGTAAGTTCTCGTGATATTGCTTTTGGTTGCGATAAAGTCGGTAACACAGGTTGCACAATAACTGTTGGATAACTGTAGCTAATGTCTGCAGATTCTTTGGAGGAGACTAGGATCGGTGGAGCTAGAATAACACGTGGTTGTCCTGAGCTTGCTTTAGAGTTTGCACTAAACATAGCTTGTTGGAGGGTAGAGGGAGAGAGCATGACCCGGCCAGGGTCACCGCTGGAACTAAGTAATCCAGGAGAGGGTGAACTAGCTCCTAATCCAACCAATCGCTTTGAACAATATACTTCTTTGTGACACTTAAATGTGCTGAATGATGAAAATTGAATATTGCAGTCTTTGCAGTATGTGTCTTGCTTAGCTGCAATGGGTTGTGGCTCCATGACCGAGTTATCTCCCCGGTTATGAATCCTCTTATGGCGGTTAAGACTTGATAGTTTGTCAATGCTGTATGAGCACATGTCACACTTAAAGATCTCTGGTTTCGACACTTTAGCTGGTATGCCGTCTGTTTCGGAGGATACATCAGATTTGCTAGGGCTGGGTGTTGATAGCTTAGCATCTGGACTCTGTGATCGCTCCGATAGAGTTCTTTTCTTTCCAGTTCGCAATCCTATGGTAAAGATATTATAGTGGTAAATTCACATATCTTAGATTTGTAATGTAAGTTTTTACAATTGAAGCATCTATAAGCTGTAAGTTTACCTGTTGGTGGTGTATCATTTTCCGCGCCATCTTTCTCTCCGAGCTGTTCCGAATGTACCGGAAGTTGAGGTTTCTTGGAGCAGTAGAAGGTAAGATGTCCTTGGAGAGTCCTTAGGCTGCTGAAGCGGACTCCACAAAACTGGCAACCATACAGTAATGCCGCTATATAATACAAATACACCAAACTTTAAACCCAAAATTAACATCCAGCGAAGGAAACTGACCACTATACAATTTTCATTTAATTCTTAAGTAATACAGATGAAATATCGAAGGGAAATCGAACAATAGCGTTATTTGTTGTACGTACCATGAGAAGGGACTGGTTTCTCCAGAACTGGGGAACTCTTAGGTAGGGGTTCTTCTACTCTCTGTATTTGAGTCGTCTCCATTCCTTCCTCAATCGTCTGCGTCTCCGGAGCCGTTACGTCACTTTCCGGTTCGTTGTTCGAGTTAATTGTAAAAGAAGCTAAAAGCTCCGTTCCTGGATTCAAGTCACTCACAATTTCACACCAGATTTTCCCATCTGTGAATTAATACAATTTAGAGTTATTCCTCCTATTGCAAGTAAAAAAAATTAAATAAATCGTAAAACTTATCGCTTTTTCGTGAGACTTGCAATATTTCAGTCCTACATGTGATGAGTGAATAAGATAAAAATATATTTATAGGGGGATTATAAAACAGGAAAAATATGTAGGGAGATAATTTGAGAGGGAGTAGCCTATAAGTTTGTAGATAAACTTTTACTGCTGACAACCGTCATTGTTAAAGCGGTCGCTTTGTCTAATGACTGAGAAGTTGAAACGGATGCTGTTCGTTCTGAACGATACGGTGACTCAGTCCCTGAAAGACGCAATCGACAATCTTCTTAATTTGACACAAAAATTTTAATGCTTTGAAAATTAGAAATAAAAAGGTGATTTTCTACGGCTTATTTACAACGTTTTTTCTCTCAATCAGTCTAGACTTGTCCGTGCCTTAGCGACATATTTTATCAAACAATACATCTGAAACTGAATTTAGCCAAATTTAAACAATCTTAGACGATGTTAATACGATAGAAAGTGACTGCTTTTTTCTTTTAAATTTTGAATTCATAAAGCAAATGCATCTTAAAACCTTTGTAGATTTGGTGATATGTACTAAGTCACTTAATGTGCACTGACAAAGGCTTGGTGATGTTCATCTCCAGTAAAAGGCTAAAGATTCTGTGATAAACTCGCATGAAAACATGTTTGGAATATTTCCATTTATCTCCTTTCGTTGATAAAAGCCTTTTAGTTAAGATATAAAAATTCAAAAAAGGATCCTGCAAAATTTGTACGGATGACAGATCAATTAGAAATATTGATTTTATCATAATCCAATTAGATCCTTTAGATCATATCGAACTAATAGAAACGTACTACATACAAATTACAGACTCTATGCGAATTTGACGACTTTGGCTAATGTATTTGGCGCCATTTAAAGCAGGATAAATAATAAAAATGTAACTTACAAAATACTTAATTTGGATAAGTCGTATTATATATTAGGGATGAAGATAATTGCAACACCTTTTTTTTCCTTATCATCTGTGAAAAAAGTTGATTTTGACAAATTGCACTTCGTGCATGATTTACGAGACATGCTTGATCGAGATTCTCCATAAAATATTTTTAAAAAAATTCTCTCTCTCCCACCCTTACTCTTTTCCTTTCGTTCTCTCTCTCTCTCCCTACCTTCGTGACATTAATTACCAAGTCCAGATCTTGCACACGATAAACAGGCGTTTACAAATACACTTATAAGCAATTAAGCGATCTAGCAAATTTTAATTTATTTTTAAATGGAAGTTTATCTACACCAACAATCAGATGTAAGTAGTGATAATTCCCTTATTTTGTCAAGTTTCAAAGAGATCTCATTATTCTCTAGCAATGTTATATCCAGCCGGGGGTCTAGAATGCACACTGTAAGTAGATAAAGAATTCAAATTTTGTGTATTCTACTCTTTGTTTTAACCAAAAAAGGATAAAAAAGAATTCATTTCTAGTGTTATCAGAAGACTTTATCGAAATGAAATAGACAGAAAAATGTTTTCTATCTCTAAAAGCAATCTTATGCCCCAATGGTTAAGTGGACACCTAAAGAACGAGTCTAAATCTCCCGTAGTATCGGGTTTCTATAGGTGTGATTGATACGGGCTAATGATAAAACCGATAACCCCCTCTATAACGCTAAAATTATGCAATGTCAAAAAAATAAAATATTCATACAGCCGTGAAACAGAATATCAGGAAATGTTATCTTTTTCTATGTCTTGCAAAAATAAAAAGGAAAACTATCTGCTAGTTCAAATACGATAAGCTTCTTTGTCACCCATATTCTTATCAGCTTAGTCTAACAAACGTTTATTACAACCAGAAAATCCAGACCGGGTGGAGTAATCCGAGCCCGATGTTTATCATTCTTTAAGAAAGGGAATGGGTCCTTTACCAACAAATATGTTTGGCAGAACTGGAACAATAAAACAACAGTTGTTCATCTGACGAATAATCCATCTGTCCGGGAATAAAGCGCCATTAGCATATCAAAATCTGCCTCCTTTATCGTCCTATAAATGCTATCGGATTATTGTCGTATCAAGTCCCTAGTATTTCCATATCAAAGACCAAGTCGCCTTTATCAACTGTTTTGCAGAATTTTGTTTCGCGCCAATACGCTTAAAAAGAATAATGGATTGGTTGATAGGTGCGATATAGAATTAATATTCAGAGATAAATATATTTTTAATTTATCTTTGATTTGGAATATCATTTTATACCGCAAGGCCCCCGGACCCATTACATTTATCTACAAATCAATAGTTACACGTTGGTCTCTGGCACCCAGTGTATGACGATGGCTTGGACCCCGAGATTCCCATCGCTCTATAATTCACTCGATATTCGTCAGTTCTACTCATTCATAGTCCTTATCAATGCACATTTAGCATTATAAATCGATAACAATATTTATTTTCTATTAAACATTTTTGCGAGTGTATAAAAATTATTTATTACATGCCTGAAATAAGTTTTTTATCTTTTCCCTCAAATTGAACGCAAAGTCACCATCATTATTGTATTTCCATAACAAGAAACGGTTGCTGCATTGATAAGCGTATTATTTTCAGAATGGAAAAAAAAAGAAATTATAAGTTAAAAGTTCATAATATTCTGTTCAAAACTTACAAATACCTTTGACACCTGCGCTTCCATTGCAACGATATCCCCAAATAAAATCAAATGTAAAGAAATATTTTATCTTGACTGTCTATAAATCTAGCGAAGACAGCGGATCTCTACCGCGTCACCGAGAACTTCAATTGCACAAAACTGGTGATAAGATAAGGAACGAAGATTACTTGTCATAAAATAAAATGTATAATACCTTCAAAATACACTGAAGCGTTTTTGGCGGATTCACTAGGGGCGGGGCGGAGAAGCGACAGCCAAGCTCCATTCTCACACAGAACCCTAACAAAACCAGCTTCTCCCTCTTTCTCTTGGGCCTGAAATTGACAAATGGTTACAGGAACATTTAGAGGAAATAAATTTCAAAAGAGATCCCCTAAAAATTATTTCATAATTTCCTGTTAAAAAAAACTCTACAACCACCAAGTACCTGATTTAGTGATTCCTTCAAAGTGCCAAAAAATACAATTTTCACACGAAAATCAGTTAGAAGATCTCTAATACATGTGTTTTTCATTTTATTTCAACGATTGGATTTAAGAATTATCGAATTTTGAATCTTGATGTCAAAGTTCACGTATCCCCTAAACTCGTATCATAGGGCAGAATCACGGAAAATCATTTGGTCCCATCGACACTTGCTTTGGAAAACAAGACTCGAAGGTTTCTACAGTTCTCATTTAAACCTACGTTGTTTGTCCATTGCTTTGATCCCCTTTCCCTTAAACTCACAATATGTATATATTTTATTAAAAAAACAAGAAAATAATATAAAAAGAATTTTAATTTATATTTTCTAAAAATATTAATCAATTTTTTAAAATGTTTTTTTCTTATTGAATTATTCAAAAAAGAAGCCATTTTACTGCATTTCAGATGAATAAAATCGAAATATATAAATCAGTTTAACTGAACAAGTTTTTAAATAAAAAAAATATATTATCTTTATAACCTTTATTTTTTGAAAATATATCTACAATGACTATTAATTTGTATATTTCGGTCTCTGGTGCATCACGTGACGCTTTGTAGATCCCGACCTATCAGCAGTGCGTGGTTATTTGGAGTGATTGCCGTATCACAGAATTTGATAAAACACATCAAAAATGAAACGTTATTTACTTATCTGACTTCTAAACTCGTGAGAACAGATATCTTGAAAAGAGTGCATGAGATAACGACTGGACTTATCTCCCCTTGATAAGTTTTCTTACGAAGAAGATAATAACTACTCCGTGACCTTAACTTAAATTCTTAAAAAAAGAACTTTAAGTGTAAATAAAAATACCTTTTACAAGCCTTTAAAACTTTAAAATTTTGAATTATATAAATTTGAAATTATATAAAATGAAAATCTTTCAAAATTCAAAACTCGTGCTGATAAAAAAAAAAAAAACAACTTAAGATGAAAATACAAGCCTGTAAAATTTTATATCATGAAAATTGAAATTCTTTCCAAGTTTAAAAATCATGACCAAACTAATTTTAATTTATAATACTATATTATAATTTCTTTTTTTTAGTTTTCAAATTTTTTATCTGTTTAAATTGTTTTTGGTAAGGTAATACAATATAATTTTGCTTGAATATTTTTGTTAGGAAAAAAACTTAATACTCATCCTTTTCCTCATTTTAGCTTGATTTATCTTGAGAGATTGGTAAGGATTTTATCTGACAAATTTTGGGTTAAAGAAGAACACAAATATTTTGGTAATTTTACTAATTTTAAATGCTATTTTTTTTTTAATTCTAGTATTTGGATTTTTCCTCAGACAGAAAAATCTTTAATATAAGTAGCTAAATGATGATCAATTACACTAAAACAAATTATTGAAAAAATCATAATAATATCTAAAATATTGTATATATTGCTTTGGCTATTGTACAGAAGAACTGACTGGCGATGGGGTCCGGGTTAGAATGGTTATCTCGTACGGAGAATGGTTTATGACGCATTGTAACTCTTGAGACTGCGATAAACAGGTACTCGAAAAGTTTTCGTGCTTTCTTTATCTTATCACTAAAATCCTATTGTAGAACAGCAAGAGAAAGTTTACAAGAAACATGGGTGGAATTCACAGGATAATTCGTTTTCCATACATTACCCCATGTTAAAAAAATGGGGATTGTACAAGACGTCTTTGAATGACCAAGTCTTATTGGTCAGAGATTGAATTTGAATAATTAAATGATAATGCTAAATAATCAATTACTAAATGTGTTTTTTTTTAATTGTTTCATTAAAAAATGTAAAGTTATGTCTGAAATGCTTAATAAAAAAACAAATAAATAAAATATTAAAAGAGACATTCAAAATAAATTCAAAACAAAAACACAAATAAATAAATAAACAATAAATAAACAAATTAATGAATAACTCACCTGTAGAACGAGGTCCCCTTGTTTAATGGAGCTAAGGGAGACAATTTCTCCCTTGAACGGACCGATACAACTACCGGAAGGTAAAGGAATAGCACTAAAGAGAAGACAGGAACGACCTGCAATGTTTGCGTCCTCTTCATCAAGTTTCTTTACAAATAAGATATTGTTTGGCACACTAACTCTCTTCAAATACTCTGTGTTACCATTTTCCAAAATCATTTCGCCCTCAGAAACCTCTTTCTTCACGATGCTTGTTTGTAAATCATGGTTTTCTTCTTTCGACTCTTTTGAGTATGAACCGTCTTCCGGTTCCGGTCGATCGTCTGATATGTCCTTGGATTCATTTGAGGGGTCATTTATTTTATCGTCCCCATTTTCGTCAACTGACAATTCTTTCTCCATGGTAGAGTCACTGTCTTCATTTTCTGACAACCCTTAAAATCATAAAAATGATAAATGAAACAACTTGTTATAACGGAAGTTAATTTTTAATATAAAATTTATATTTGAAAAATCCCCACATTTTACAGCTGTTATGTAATAAATGTGGAAGGAAAATGGTAAAAATTGATAAACAGAGGGAGAGATCGGGATGTTGAGCTGTTATATAATAAATATGGAAGGAAAATGGTAAAAATTGATAAACAGAGAAAGAGATCGGGATGTTGGGAGAAAATATCATAACGGCTAATACTGGGCGAGGAGATCGGTATTTGACAGGAAGCTATGTTTACAAAGCGATGACAAACAGCGTTCTTCTGACCCGCGGTTTCCTGTACTTAACTTTTAATTAATGTGAAGCGAAAATTTTCTGCAACATCTGATAAGACATATGATTTATGGTTATCAAATTCAACAAGAAGATACAAGTCATCTGATTCCCGCCATATCTTTTCCATCGGGATACATCAGGTCCGTCTTGTCGACTGTAACCGAGGACACGTGATTGCGGTCACTCTAAACAGTAGTCAGAGACCGATGACAAACGAAATGCAGCTTTTCTTATTCTTAGTTTTATTAACATTACAGTCAGCGAAACAAAAGTGTATTGCATTGAAATCGTTTGTACATTTGGAATATGACATTTCAGACGCCTTGTGAAAAAGGGTGGTGCATGGAACTTATGTTTGTGATTTTGATATGTAAACTATTTTGGCCCAAATACAAATGAACATAAAGTAAAATAAATCATTTAAATTAAAATTGTATAATTAGCAAAGGTAGAAAATGAAATCAGTTAATCTGGTAATCCTTGAAATTATTTGAAGATAAACAAAGTTCCGTCGCCTGACTACGTTATCATGATTTCGGTATCTTGTGGAATTATCAATTTGAAAATAATTTCAGCAAAATTTTAAATAGAGATCAATAGAACTCATCTGACAAAAAATGTGGGTAAAAATAGAAAAGCAATCACACTTCTATCTACCATTGGAAGGTGAACAACTGACCGTGTACGTTATAAGTTTGATGCCGAACGATAACGCAAATTAACACTAATTTAGGCGGGAAAGAAAGATAACAAAGGCCTTCTGATCAGACGATAAACCACGAGCTTTTGTTTCCAAATTCCTGCTATCGTCGGCAGAAGAAGAGATAGTATTCAGTGAAGACATATATCGCCGACTCATTATAAGTTTTTGTCCCTTGAAGATTACGGATACCAAAATATTTTGCAAGAAACAGTAGACAGGCGTTATCTAATCTAAGCGAGTACAAGTTCCCGCGCTATCTGGACAGGATCTCGCGAGAGTTTGGGGTCAGAGTTTCACTTCAAGCTCCCAGACCTGGAGCCCTTTGGGTGGGATGGAAGATCACCAGGCAGATAATTTGGACATAAAGACAAAAGAAATCCTGATTCAAAACACATGTCGCAAAATATCAACTACTTAGACCCCTCTATCGGAGAAAACAAACAGCAATATTGGACATTCGAAATACCTGCATGGCGGAAGAAAAGATTCAGTTTGACTCGAGTGAAGGCAAATTACGTGTCCTCACAAGCTATTGGAGAAGTCACCAATCTCGTTTGATAAGCCCGAAGACCCACGAGATCCCTATCAAGATGGCGCGGTGACATGAAACACCTTTTATCTACAAAATTTCCCTCAAAAGGACCACAGACTTTTATTTTAGAACCCATACCCATTTTTGAGATAGGTAAATTTTCTCCTGCAGACATATTTTGTATATTTGTTTGAGTACTCAATTTATAGAGTAGAATGATACCATCTAAAAGCAAAAGGTGTTCAAAAGCTTTTTCCCTTTTGTCACAAATGGTACTGAGAAGAGATTTTGCGAGATACGAGATTTTAAACGAGATTTGGGAGAGAGATAAACAATTTGTCCACTTATACCACACGATTGATCAAAAGTAATTTATTCACAATTCGACGAATTTACGCACGGAAGCGACATGGATGTTACAAATTTTGGCAAGAAAAAAAATATATATAGTGCTAAAAAAAAACAGTGGGAAAATATAAGATTCGATTGATATTCTTCAAAAGATATTTAATCTCATAAAGCTCCATTAGAATTCTATTTAGAGATACTGTGTTCACAGTTTCTATATTCCGAAGATGTCGTGCTTCAGTAGAAAATTCTAATAACAGCTATAAAGAATTAAGCGATTAAGTCCACGATATAAATTTGGAGATGTCGGTACCTATGTATGCTAATGCTATTATCTACATCAAAATTAGTTCTAATGTTGCTGACATTTTAGGAAGTTAATATCTCAAATTTGATCAAAGACACTTTGTACCCATGTAAAAAAGAATATCGGTTGCAGTGTGGGGTGAAAAGAAACCCATCATTTTGAAAATTTAATAAGAGAATTCAAATTAATCAGCTGTTATTCTCGGGTTTATGTAAGTACGATTTAAAAAAAAAAAGATACGAAATGGGTTGAAAAAATATGAAGTTACTATTCGCGTTAAATTTTAGTGCAAATTCTCACTTTCAGAATTACAAGCCACAGGAATATCGTATATACAACACCTCTCGCGAGATTAAGATCTTCGAACTTAAGGTGGATTTCGAGCTCGTCCCAAGGCGCTGGAAAGATTTCGGATGGTAACCCGATAGTTGGTTTGTGGCGGTGACAATTGATTTTCAGATAAAAAATTATTTTTCTCTTCGTGTTAATGATCTACAAGATCGCTTCCTCAAGGACTGGCTTGTATGGAAAATTATAGAAGTCGACGTGTTAAAAACATTCTTCTATTTTAATTACCTTAAATATATGAAATGATAGCAATCGAGAGATAAATAAAAAGAGATTAGAAATTAAATACGGGCTTTTATTAGGAATTGAAATATGAATAGGTATAAACGCATTACAGATAACTATTCGTCTCCTCGTCTTATGTTTTCTGAAATAAATTCAAGAGTCACGAAAAGTCCTGAAGTTTTTTGTCATGGCTGGGCACTGGTTTGACAAATAGAAAAAGCTAGATTTTCGCGATAGGAGCCTTATCATGCATCTACATTCGACACCTATTCGCCTTTCTGAAAAGGTAACGACGGGCACCTGGCATTCAATACCCTATTCCAGGAGCTCTTCCTTTTGTCTGAGGAAATCACCTTAGCAAAAGTTCTTTTTTTCTCCAATAGGATTTGTGACAGATTGAAGAATATGTAATCGATTATTTTCTTGAGTTTTTACGTTATTGGGTATAATTTACGACTATTTAATGATTATTTAGACATGATTATTCAAATTTCTATTTTTCATCCAAAAATATGACTGCGACAGTTTTCTGGTTCACTACCACGCATCAGTTATAGAAATCCCCCGCCGGGCCACGCATTAGCCTTACTTATCAGCTCTGTGTGATGGGTTGTTAATTTGAATAATTTGATAAAATTAAATAAAATTCAAACAGATTTAAGAGATCGGTATCAGATAATGCGAATTTAGCGCCATTATTGCGTTACGCTGAGCATATGTTTCTTTGGGCTCTCGTCTACCCTGAAATTTTCTGATTTATTATCAAATGCATCGCTCTCTGACTAAAACCTGGTTATATTGAAATGTCGTCGTTAACATTTGATGACAAAGTCAGTCAAATCTCATATATGATCACCTGGATATGGCATATAGAGAGGAGGATCCACAGTTTTGGATGGTACTATTTTCTATTTTTTGATTAAGTTATAAAAAATCATTGATTTGATCAATAAAGGATATTATAAGATTTTTTTTTATATTTACTTCATAATGAGACGAAAAACTTCCTAAAGTTTTCTTTAATGAACTCTTAATTTTTTAGGGAAAAACATGATTTTCCAGGCAATCGCATGTATGTAATATATATAGAGAGAGAGGGGGGAGACTACAAATGTAGAGAATAACGAAACTGACTATTCCCCCAACATATCAATTTTTTTAGACAAGGAACTGGCAAACTGGAAACTTGAACATGTAGGAGATTCATCAATATTTTCTAAATATGTTCACTTAGGATAATCAAAAAATGGTACTTAACAGAAACTGATGTGAAGATCTGGAATTATAATGATAGGTGGGAATACACAGAACTGTTGTCATAGCAACAATCGCAAAAAAGTAACCCTACATGCTAAATTTTACTGCAAAATAAAGATAAATACATTGACTAATTATATAAGCAGTCAAATTGACATCTTTTGATATGCTTTGAACAATCAGTTAAAATGTTGTTTCCCCGCGATATGACTATTCCTTCCAGAGTATCGCGCGTCTGGGGAGGGCATTTATCCGGCTTCCGTAAGGTTCCAAACTTTATCTTCCATACACTCCATCCTGGTTTCGAGTTCTCATCAGATATTTTTGCGACGTAACATTTAATATCATGGTATTGATAAATTATATTACTAAATTTGCATTTCAAACGCATTGCATGAAGTTAGATAAGAAAAAAAGAAAGCGGGTTTTCGGAGAAAGGAGATATGCCGATACCTTATCGTTCGTCTTCCAGATCGCTTTACTGCTATAAAGTTTTATCATTTCATATTTTGCTGTACAATGTCCCAGGATTTGGTTTGTCCTATCTGTCGCACACAGCATCGGTCCAGCCATTTTACTGAATCGATCCCCCTCGGTCCAAATCACGCGAGATTATCGTTGGCCAGCGTTTGTATGTTGGGGGTTCTAATTACAATGGGTTGCGCGAGTCTGATAATGGCAGGGGCCTATCTCACAATTTTATCTGAGAACTATCTCTCTCCAGAATCATCTATAATGGATTAATTTCATACAATCAAGTGTAATCTCTTATCAGAGACTCCATAAAGAAATGGAAAAATGCGAAACGATGTTCTATCAAAATAAAGCATGATGATATCTTTTCCATATTATTTTGGGTTGGGTTGAAAGAGTGGAAAAACAAGACTTTGATAGAAAATGTTGGATATTTAAAATATGTCATATCTCACAGGGGAAAATGTGCATTGTTTCATTGGTAAGGACCCATAAAATGAGCTAAGTTGATGCCATAAATTTGAATTTAGACAAATCTGGTACGATAAGACCAGAGATAACACGAGGGACACCATTCGGGGTTCCTCCCTAATTACTGATAAAAGCTAGCTCTCACATTCAGCTTATATAACTTATCAGGTTCTTTGATAAGAAAAATACAAAAATTATTGAGAATTAACAAGAGCGTATTTGTTTGTCTCACATAAAATGAGATCATAGACTTTATAAATTTAGAAATGCGAGCAATCTCATCAGAGATGAGCGTTGGTGATACTGAAACTGCCGATATGTCTTACGACTTTTTCGTGTGAAACATTTGATAAAAACCCACCGAAATAAACTCTAAAATTCTGCTATTTGTCAAAATTATGCACTTGAAATCTAAAATATGCTTTAAAATAATGTTTGATTGACATCTGGTAAAGAGCGTGTTTGTAAAAATATTCAGTGTCTGAATGAAGATATTGGGGATAAAAGTCTGTCATCAACCATCCTGATTTTCAAATCCCCATAATATTGATTGCAACATGCAGAGGTTCATTAAAAATACAAGAAACAAAACTTTTCATTAAACTAACAAAATATCTTGGTTTTTTTTTTGTGTGTTTTATCTTATTTTTTTTTAAATAAAAAATCAGATAATCATTTACTTTCGAAAAGGTTTTAGTACCGTAAAAATAGGATATTTTATTTTTGTATGTTCAAGAGGATTTATTATAAGTGAAAATGTTTGAAAATATGGCATACAACTTCAAGGGAGGTATTAACAGAAAATATGAACATTCCTCATTGTCTTTCATTGAGAAATTTAATACTTCCTCCTGGTTCAGTCAACGATTGAAAATCAATCGAATTTCAGGAAAAAATTATTTACATAATTTTTTAAGACATCATTAAATAAACTTTGAGAAAAAATGAACTTAAATTTCTTCTATAACATGAGAGAAACACATTTTTGTTGGTATTGATATCCAATTATTAACATAAATCTAAACATGGATTTACCTTTTAGATTTACACTGACTTAGCTTAATATTGTTCCCATATCAGAATTATTAAACAAAAATTTGTTCTTTTAAGTTTTTTAAAATTATTTTTTCTTTAAATAATAATTTATAATTTACAGATAAATCGATTTTAGGCAATGTGGGAATTCTATGATTAAATATATTCTAGCTGTGGATCTCATAGTACATGTACAAAAGAACCAGAGTAACACATATCACATATATCCTTTTCTCCAAAAGAATACTAATTTTCATTATGTTTTCTCTATGACAATTGCTTGCAATTAATTTTAATTCAAAACATCCTAATTTAAATTGTTTACTGAAAATGTATGGATTTTTAGTATGTACTACGAAGATGTGAAATCTAACAACTTAAAAAAGAATGAGAAAAAAAATAAATACTCACTTTTTATCGGCTTTGGGTTGGACTGTTTTCGCCGTGACATTTCCAAAAACGTGGTTTACACTAATCACCGGATTGAACTCCCCGGCTAGTACACAAACATTTGCACCTTGCATGCGCGGTGACCTGTCTACCCCTGTCTCGATCCGTGCGCGGTGAACTTTCAAGGGTCACTACAATAAATAACTACATGTTGATACATATGCAATTTGTCTTCACTCTCGCTCTGATTAGAAACACGTCCGCATGTCTTGACATCGCAAGTAAAAACACTGGGGTTTTTTCACGGTTTCCTTGTACGAGCCCGATCATCGACCGTACACATATAGCCTCAGATAGAATATCTGATAGCGAGATAGGACTTAGCCGTTATCCACTAGATCTAAGATCTTATCTTATCGAACTATCGGCTCTATCTCGTGCCCTGGAGAAGAGTTTGAGGGTACTACATGTCTGTCCATCTACATTTGGTACAATGAGAAATTCTTTTATCATTTGTCTTCCTTTAGAGATAGGATTATTTCAGTTTTCAAGATGCGACCTCCAGATAGGAGATACGACCAATCATCGGCTGATTCATCGCATATATTTACAACAGATACACTTTAATGGTACTTATCGCGATTTAATGTAAGGACAGAATATGATACTTGGGGCCGCGAGAAAGGGTCGATACACAGCAAGAATGTCCACCCCGGCGCATGTCGTATTAAAACTGACTGATACTCTCTAATTACCAAAGAGATCTTATTTTTTGAAACTATGCCTTCAAACAAGGATATAAAATTTCTATTACAAATTTGAAATAATTTGCTGGAATTATTATTTCTTCTCGGGCGAGATATTACTATAATCCGCAGCAGCAGGTGCGTGTTTTTGATACATACACGCTTATTGTTGAGATAACGTATGGAGATGGAATCGCAAAAACACTTCTCTTAGAGATGCAAAATGTCTTCCTTCCTATTGTGTTTTCGTACCGCTAACAAGAGTTTCTGAGAGTCGAATTACCCAGTTTTTTTCCCTCCACAAAATTTCACCTGCTGGGAAGATACAGTTCTAACCATATGTTTAACTACGAGTCAATATGATCGGAGAAATATCGAGAGACCATTTCCAATATTAATATTTTCAGATATACGTACTTTAAAAGTATAATTTCCACATTCTTACAAAATACACTGATGTCATATCGGATGCTTGTTACTCGATCTCTCTTATGTTGGAAAAGATAAAAATCTGTTATCAAATTTTATGACCTTAATAAGTTCTGTTTTTATTCTTAAGTGTTTAGTTTCGAAAAAGGAAAGTAAACAAAAATATCCTGTTGAACGTTTTTAATGTGGAGCCAGGCAATTATACAAATATAGTTTATTATCAGATTTACAATCGGGTTTCCTTATTTGTAATGACCATAAGTGTGAAATGGCACTCCCCGGAGGAAATTCTGGCATTGTGGCGGTGACGGGGGTGTTTGATAGCCTTAATGACAGCCGGGTTTGACAGCCAAACACAAGATGCACTCAGCCAGTGATAGGGAAAAGAAGATAATAAAAAAAATCTTAATCTTCTTAATCAAATGGACATAGTAGAGAGTACAGTCTGAAGTATATGTAATTTATTTTCTTTCTTTAAAAAATTATTTCAATTACTTTAATTTTAATTCAAATTTGTAAAATTAAAATTATTATGACCTTATCATACATGCTGGCTTTTTACATATTTTTTTAATTCAACGTTTGGTAGAGAAAAAACGAAACAAATCGATAAATGTGTTATGTGTATACATGAGCAGTTGAATTGAAATTTGATCAAATCTGACACGGTATATAATTTTATCGTTAAAACTGGTTTTTCTTTATAATCTAAACCTATATCTTGATTTGATTTTCCTCTAAATCATTAAATCGGTATAAATGTATCCAGCTCGCACAGGAGCTTTAGTACTTAATGTATTATATAGAATGTATGTCAGCATTTCTTTTTCATTTTGTTAACATTTTTTTTTAATATTGATAGTAAGAATTATCTGGGTATTCTGTTTAATCAATTTCTTGGATTGAAAAGGTATATACGCTTTTTATGAAATAAAATTTATGAAAAGGAAGACTAAATTATAAATAGTACATTTAGCTATTAAGCCCTAAATCAGCAGCGAAAATTTTGGAAAGTTTGTCTTTGGTGTCTTTTTAAAAATTCTGTTGATGATCTCGCGAGGAATAACTACTGTAGTCTGACTGGTCAAAATATCTTGGGAATGAGCATGTGATTGTAAACGGGGGAAAAAAAACTACAAATATGCATAATTTTGTATTCAGTAAAAAATTTCCATAATCAATCTTTATTTTTTCTTACATCCTATGAATAATCAAATTCGACACAAGTCCAGATAAACGACAGATACCATATCTTTCACTTTTAAATTCAAAAGTTCAGGTGGCACCGCAGAAACTAAAAATTTCCTTTAGTTGAGTTTTGGTGTTTCCTGATGCTAATCAGAAACCAGTATAAATTGCATTGCTATTTTAACTAATCTTGTTTACCATCAAACATCTTTTAAATTTAGATCATTTATCTAACACACAAATATAGATAAAAATCTTAAATCTTTCTCAAATAAGGACACGATATGTCTCTTTTTCTTAAAACAAACAGGCAGAAGATTTCAAGCGCCATTGTTGCTTGGATATAAACATGATGGTGAACAAACGAGATAACAGAATGGTGATAAGATAAGCTGTTATGACACATGCGCGACAGTCAGTTAAAAATAGCACAGAGCTAAAGAAAGTCAAAACTCAGAAAGTACAGAAAGACTATATGTCAAACAGTGCCTTTATTGTGTGTTTCTTGTACATGTATCTCTTTATCGAAAATGGCGATGAAAATAAGATAACCATAAAAAAGACAGTTGACCACCTTGAATTAGATGAAGTTTTATACCTACAAAAGCCCCTATCTTGAGTTACATGTAGACATAGTTCTAGGGTATTCCGAAACAATATACCAAGAGTGAATTCATGAAATTTAATAATTGTAATATTTTGGGAGAGAGAGAGGGGGAGGACTAGGTACTTCAAGGAGCTGAAAAGTCTGCTTAGTAAACTTAAAAGACATTACATATACAGTTATATGTTATTACACAAGTTAAATCTCTCATTTACAACGACATTTTATTCACTGAATGAAATATTGATAGTGCTAATTGCTAAATGACACCCCCCCCCCAACACAGCGCAATTTTTTTTTGGGGGGGGGGGTTGAATTTCAGCTTGAAGTACGATAATTCCAGAAAGTAATTATTCCCCTTCAAAAGTAGAAAGTATATAGTCCCCAACTGAAATCGGTGAGGACTGTAGGTTTCCTCTGAGTCTGTCTTTCTGTCTGTCCGTAGGTTCGTCTGTCTGTCCCTCTGCCTTTCAGTCTTTCCCACTTGGTTTTCCGCACTTTTTTCTAAACGCTTACAGATGTATTGTGCTGATATTTGGTATGTAAGTGCATGAATCTTGATGATCAAGTTTGTATTTGGGTCCGCGTCATTGATTTTGACGGAAACACGGCCTTTTAAATTTTTTTTCTATTACGGTCGGGTTCGTGATGCACTAAATTAATGTTCTAACGTGTTTGCCTAACGAGAAAAGGGGTCCCGATAGGGATTGTCGGGGACCCCTTTTCTCGTTAGGCAAACTCTCAGAATCCTTGTTGTTCGAGCTCTTTTATTTGAGATTTCTCTTGATAATAAGTTTTTAATGTGGAGAATCTGTTTTGATAGTTACTGAAACTGAAATTGTTGTTGTGACAAATGCAAAAGAGCTTAATTGACGGATATAAAGCCGAAACAAGTAAAAAGTTGCACAAAAAAGGTCTTAGTTGTGTGATATTTGAAACCCTACATGTTATAAGAAATCAAACAGAAAAAAATAAGAAATATTCTTTGAAAAATTTGGGATAATAGTTTATACTAAATATTCCGTTTTTTCTAAGTATTCTATATGGAGGTAGATGTGTTTATCTTCTTTCTCTTTTTTTCGATGGTATGGGGTAGGTTTTTTTTTTACTTTATCAAAAATTCCTATATTTAAAAATACTGTCGAAATTGCTTCCTTTTCGAGTTGTTATTTTCAATGTTCAATAAACATTAAATTTATGAATTACTGAAATGTTGACTTAAGTCCAAGACTTCTATGTGATCCTGGACCTAAAATGTTTGTCAGAATTTCTGTCCCTTGGAGCCATAGAGTCATGCAGCTAAATAGGTATAGAAAAAAAATACTCTCATGTGCTAAGTATTCTATACACTGAAATATTCGAAATCAAAGTTAAAAACTGATTAATATAAAGAACATGAAAGTTAATATTCTTGCGGTTAAATAGTTTAGAAGTACATGTACATTGTAACAGTTTGTGCTTTGAGGGTTGGGAGAATCTATCGATGTTTCTAATTGTGTAAAATTGGGTACATCTAGTATTTTCAAAAATCTAACCAATAATCAATGAGTGGAGGTGATGGGGGTGTTAGGAGGATATGGTCTAAGTTGGAGGTGCCCTAGACTGGTAGGGACCCACAATGAAATACATCTATTGAATAGTTACAGTTCTTCAAGAAGTAACAGTATTTCACTTATGTTTAATAACCATTATGATGTGTGTAATAATAAGTTGTACTGCATAGTCATTATAAAACTTTTTAAGATAACGTTTAACCCACTGAAATTACTGTTATAAACCTAATGTGAAATCTGAATAAAAAAGCAATCTCCCTTTTTGATAAAACACGAAATTTGATTTACTTGTGGACGATAATTCCAACTTAAATGGGTGCATTTTATTAACAGTCTGTTCCGGCGAGATAAACTCTAGTTCAGGTGGAACTATCTGTACTTCAGATTGTGTGTTTTGTTTCTTCCCGTGATAAACCAGACAAGGTGACAATCTTGTTGGACCGCTATCAAGAACCAATGGAGAGGGGGGCTCAGAAATGGTTTCTCTTCTTAGATTAGATGGAGGTGACACCTACCTCGCTTCGACTCATTCATAACATGAAATATACTTTTTTTCAAACAAAGATAAGATAAATTTAACTGTCGCAGACTGATGGATTAAAATAAAAGAAAGATTTCATATGAATTTGCATTAACCCCGAAATGTCAAAGACATTCTAAGAATTGTAAAATTTGTAATCTTTATCTAAAACCTATAGATGGTCTCGATGCAATAAAATTACATGGATAACGTAATTGAAAATTACAAAAATGTCAGTAAAATAAGTTTAATTGTAATTCAGTATAGATTAGAAATTTTTGGCAAAAATATTTTTTGTAAATGAGCAAAGAAGGAAAAAAATTCTACCATCGTTGAGGAAATATGTAACAGAATTTCTAACCATGGAAACAAGATAAAGATTGATAAGATAACTTTCAAAATGATTAAATTGATTTGAAGGTTAATCTTACTTACTAGAAATATACATACACATAGATAATAACTGAATACTAGAGAAGGAAAACATACCTTGACGAGCAGTAGATGCAATCATAAAGAAAAAATCGGAATGTTAATTCTTTAATATTAACTTGGATCCCTGAGTTTATAGCCAATCTAAGTCTATCTTATATAAAACCCGATATAGATAGGCTTGACGCGTCACCATATCATTCATTAAAGTCATTAATGCATTTACACCCGATAAAGACGTCTGATATCAGATTAATTCGGAGGGAAGAATTGTCTATCAATGCTGATGCATATGACCAGTGGGGCACACACTGACGATACCGATGATTAACGCGATAACATTGTTGGAATTTCATTCTTCTGCCGTCGGATAATCATCGATTGAAAGATGGTCAAGCAAGATGTTCTTTCTGTTATAATAAGGTGATAAGTTGCGAACAAACCTTTTCTTCTCCGTCCTTATATCAAAACAGAACATATAAGAAATGCACATCGATATAGAACGGCTTATCAAGGTCGGCAATGCGTAGACATTAATTATAATGACAAAAGTTAAAACCCATTATAAACCACAGATTAACATTGATTTTGTCGGTTATCTAAACAATTTGAATTAACTAGATACGAGGACAAAATATTCAGCACTTTATGTTATTTGGCAGATAAATGGCGGCCTTAAAAAGTATGCAAAGCCTTGTATGGACACCGACGCAGGAGGTCCAAAAATAAAATTATCAGG